GTATATATACACGAGGTGGATGAAGCTGCTCCTATGATGATGCTGCAGGTTCTTTGCTCTCCCTGGTTGTATATATATATATATATATACAGGTATACGTCGTGTATGTAAGTGCATACGATGTATGGTGCAGTGGACGCGAGAGATTTTAAATAAACATATATAAAAAGGAGGGGGAGAGCGAATAAGGACTCGGCATCAGACATAATAGCAGTGGGTATGTATACATGTATATATACAGCGGCGGCAGTCCTCGTTATTATAATTTAGGAGCATTGCACCCTTGGATGGACCCCGATAGGCCTTTTTTGGTTTTTTTTTTTTTTTTTTTTTTTTTTTTCCACCCATTGTAGTTATGAAATCTGTTTAAAAATTTTGCTTGAAAAAGGCCCAGATACTCCGAGACATGAAACACCGTACAGTAATCGATTCTTTTTTTTCTTGTTCCCACAGAAATTGTTGTTTGGCTCGGGAAAGCTGGAGCGCAAAATTATCGTTTGGCTGTAAGCGAAATCAAAAACCAACTACAAAAAAAACAAAAAAAAAAAAAAACAATCAAATAAAATGGCTGTCAAACTGTTGGCCTTCATTATACTCGTTTTGGCTTCTATAACCGTCAATGCCCAAAGTCAACCAAACAATCTGAATAGTAAGTATAATCACTCTACGTATACTTTCAACGTGAAAAAAAAAAAAAAAAAAAATTCTTGAAATAATTAAACTAAATTATATCGATTGCAATAAAAATAAATTTATAATACTATAAAAATGTCAATCTAAAGCGTTGGGTGATGGTATACATAACGAAAAATGCATTGCAGAATTCATTGGTCAGGCTTTTGACGAAATCGTGGTGTCGTCGCACGAAATAAGCGTCCTGCGTAAAGCAAAGGAAAATCGGCAGGGCAAGCAACTGTTAACAAACGTGCCGTCAGGAACAACCAGTTCGCCCCACAAGTTGACGCCTCTTGCGCCCACACTAGTATCGAACGACGGGACCGGCGAAATATCTGACAGGAAACGAAAGAGAATGGCTCGAGGGGCCGACAAAAGGTAAATTTTTATTTTATAATACGCCGTTTGTTTGTCGTTTTATTTTTTGCTTGCTTGATTATAATCTTCAGTTGGAATCAAAGAAAGATAGTCAAACACCGTTTGGCCGAGAGATTAGCTTTTTATATTTTCTTATCTTATCAATTTGATTTTTATTATAAGTAA